AAAGTTTTTATACGAGGGAGCCCTATTTTCTTTAGTGCTTTTTATTATTGGCATGCTAACCTTCTGCACCAGTTAATCTAGGTCTGAGCTGGATTCAAATGCTAGTTCCATGGCCACAGAAAGACTGCTCTCTGGCTTGCTGAGTCATGTGGGGAGCTCTGCAGAGGTGGAGAAGCCCAGGAGACTGAAGTCACTAATGCCTTCTCACTCTGTGGCAGGAGCATGCGGAAAGTGGAAAGTGAAACTTCCAGCCCGAAGACCTTTCAGCCACGTCTGAAGTTTCAGTGGTGCAGATGATCATCAGACTTCTTGTGAAAGCCCATCACTGCTGGGCTACATGGCCCATTTAAAACTGGAACTCTCCTGACACTGCAGAGGGTGGGGAGGCAGGGGATGCAGCTGCGAAATTTGCAGCAAAGTACGTCATGTTGAATATATTAGTCTTGCGCCCTGAAATCCACTTCCAGGTACAAACAAGGAGACAGCTGCTATAATGCTTAAAGCTATTTTAAACAACAGGTATTGTCGTGAAATTCACTACAATCTGATCTGTCACATTTATTCACTATGGTATTTAAACAGTAAGCACAGAACCCAAAGCTTAAGGTAGCACTAAACACACCTAAGAAACCTTAGCTCTCCCCCTCTTCCATAATTCCAAAATGTTAAGTGATCCCCATTACTACCTCCTCTTTGTCTCTCTCTTTTTTAAAAAACTTTCCTAGGCCCTGATCCCACAAAGTGCTTCAGCATGTGTGTAAGTTTAAGCACGTGAATAATCCCATTGAAGAACGTAAGAATGACCATACTAGGTCAGACCAAAGGTGCCCAATGCCTCAATCATATCACCCCTTAGTCATCTCTTTTCCAAGCTGAAAAGTCCCAGCCTTATTAATCTCTCCTCGTACAGAAGCCATTCCATACTCCCTAATCATTGTTGTTGCCCTTTTCTGAACTTTTTCCAATTCCAATATATCTTTTTTGAGATGGGGTGACCACATATGCACGCAGTATTCAAGATCTGGGCATACCATGGATTTATATAGAGGCAATATGATATTATCTGCCTTATTATCTATCCCTTTCTTAATAATTCCCAACATTCTGTTAGCTTTTTTGACTGCCACTGCACACTGAGTGTGTGTTTTCAGAGAACTATCCACAATGACTCCAAGATCGCTTTTCTTGAGTGGTGGTAACAGCTAATTTATACCCCATTATTTTATATGTATACTTGGGATTATGCTTTCCAATGTGCATTACTTTGCATTTATCAACATTAATTTCATCTGCCATTTTGTTGCCCAGTCACCCAGTTTTGAGAGATCCTTTTGTAGCTCTTTGCAGTCTGCCTGGGACTTAACTATCTTGAGTAGTTTTGTATCATCTGCAAATTTGGCCACCTCACTGTTTACCCCGTTTTCCAGATCATTTATGAATATGTTGAATAGGACTGGTCCCAGTACAGAGCCCTGGGGGACACCACTATTTACCTCTCCATTCTGAAAACTGACCATTTAATTCTACCCTTTGTTTCCTATCTTTTAACCAGTTACCGATCCACGAGAAGACCTTCCCTCTTATCTCATGACAGCTTACTTTGCTTAAGAGCCTTTGGTGAGGGACCTTGTCAAAGGCTTTCTTTAAATCTAAGTACACTGTATTCACTGGTTCCCAACAAATTATGTTCATCTATGTGTCTGACAATTTTGTTCTTGACTATAGTTTCAACCAGCTTGCCAGGTACTGAAGTCAGGCTTACTGACCTGTAATTGCCGGGATCATCTCTGGAGCCCTTTTAAAAAATTGGCTTCACATTAGCTATCCTCCAGTCATTTGGTACAGAAGCTGATTTAAATGATAGATTACAGATGACAGTTAGTAGTTCTGCAATTCACATTTGAGTTCCTTCAGAACTCTTGGGTGAATACCATCTGGTCCTGGTGACTTATTACTGTTTAGTTTATCAGTTTGTTCCAAAACCTCCTCCAATGACACCTCAATCTGGGACAGTTCCTCAGATCTGTCACCTAAAAAGAATGGCTCAGGTTTGGGAATCTCCCTCACATCCTCAGCCGTGAAGACTGATGGAAAAAATTCATTTAGTTTCTCTGCAACGGCCTTTTTGTTCTTGAGTGCTCCTTTAGCATCTCGATCGTCTACTGGCCTCACTGGTTGTTTAGCAGGCTTCCTGCTTCTTATGTAGTCACAATTTTTTTTGCTATTACTTTTTGAGTCTTTCGCTAGTTGTTCTTCAAATTCCTTTTTGTCCTTCCTAATTATATTTTTACACTTCATATGCCAGCGTTTATGCTCCTTTCTATTTTCCTCACTAGGATTTAACTTCCACTTTTTAAAGGATGCCTTTTTGCCTCTCACTGCTTCTTTTACTTTGTTGTTTAGCCACGGTGGCACTGTTTTGGTTCTCTTACTATGTTTTTTAATTCGGGGTATACATTTAAGTTGAGCCTTTATTGTGGTGTCTTTAAAATGTTTCCATGCAGCTTGCAGGGATTTCACTGTTGGCACTGTACCTTTTCATTTCTGTTTAACTAACCTCCTCATTTTTGTGTAGTTCCCCCTTTCTGAAATTAAATGGTACAGTGTTGGGCTGCTGTGGTGTTTCCCCTGCCACAGGGATGTTAAATTTAATTATTTTATGGTCACTATTACCAAGCGGTCCAGCTATATTCACCTCTTGGACCAGATCCTGTGCTCCACTTAGAGCATGGAATTACTCTCCATGAATACATTCCTCACCGCTGTTACAGCTGGGGTGACCGGAAGCAGAGAGGAGTCCATCTTGACTCAGAGGCTACGCATTACCTTATTAATTGGTAGTCAGATTCCCTCAATCTAGGTTCCGGTGAGTCTATTTGCTAGCTCCTTACACTGTTTCCTTCTTCCTACCAGCATCATGTCTGCCCTCTGTGCGTTAAACTTGAAGCAAACCTTGTCATCCCTTGGTTTATTTCTTCCAGACCCTGGGACATCCTGGTGATGGCTACATCAGAATGTAAAGTTGAAAACAAAAAAGTACATTGATGACATTCAGATTTACAGAGGACACTGGAGTCCGTGGCATCTTATGATCTCTCTAATATTTGGTCTATGCTAGAAAATTAGGTCAGTTTAATTATGTCAGTCAGGGGTGTGAAAAATCCACACCCTGAGCAGTGTAGTTAAGCTGATCTAAGTCCCCATGTAGACAGTGCTAGGTTGACGGAAGAATTCTTCCATTGACCTAGCTACTGCCTCTCAAGGAGATGGATTACCTAAGCCAACAGGAAACTCCCTCCCATCAGCATAGGTAATGTCTCCACTGAAGCCCTTCAGTGGTACAGCTATGCCATTGTAGCATTTTAAGCGTACACAAGACCTTAGTGAACTCATATATACTTTAAGTCATTTTCTCTGGCCTGCTCAAACCCCTTTGGGCCACTCCAGCAGCATAAATGGGGGTAGAAAATTATAAGATCTTCCAGTTGGGTATTCCTAGAGACTATTTTAACTTCCAGTAGGGACTGAACTGGCCCTAGGATCAAGCGTCTATAAAAGTTGCTGAAAGCTGCTTTCTCCTGGCACATGGCCTTACACTGAGCACAGCTCAGCCAGATCGGGGAGCTTGGCCACTGGGGCAAATTCATCCCAGGTGTAACAACTTCTCATCTCTGGTTTAACTCTATTTACTGTAATGCAGTTCTAAATTTACCCTTGTTTTAACTTTATTAAAGTCAATGGAGTTACACTAGAAATGAGTTTGGTCCTTTGCTCCAATTTCATCTCAGAACCTGACAGTTCTAAACCCTAAAGTTTCTGGGCCAGATCCAAAGCTAGTGTAAATTGGCATCGCTCCATTTGGCCCTTTGTGTAGAAGTAACTATCTTGCCCATAATGCTTTTAATTCTGTCACCCCTCTGTCAAGTTATAGCAGATTCTGACACCTTACAGACAGATTTCCCATTCAACAGCCTCTAGGTATATTCTTAATGCAACTTTTTTATTTCACTCTACAAGCACCAGCCCTTGAACAGAGGTGGTCACAAACAGTATATAGGCAATCCCGTCCTTTTGGGATCTCAATCCAAACACCAGTGCTTGGTTCCCAGGAAGCAATTCTGCTTTGATAAGTGACTCTAATTAGAGAGATTAAGGAAGAGCACAAACTCCCATGCTACCTACCACAGCTCCCTGAAAAAATACAAACTTTTTTTTAACGACTGAACAGCACTCACATGCTTAGAAAAAGAACTGGGAAAACTACACAGAACAGCACCATGATGTGATTCCCCCACCACAACATCTTTCATGGTGGTTCCTTGTTACCCCTTAATACTTTCAAAAAAGCGACACCTTAAAAATTAAATAAATGGTGTTTTCTCTATTATGACATAGGTTATTTCATAATGTACTGACAGAAAGAATTCATTCGCTCAAACAGAATCCTTAAAATATAAGATCACAGGTGTGATGCCAGCTTAGTCCATTTCCCTTGGGAATAACTGGCTTTCTAATGCTTTTAGAATAGTTTCAAACTATGGCATGTGTTTTGGAAAAAGCTACCATCACACTTTGCAGAAATCCTTTACACTTGAGAAAATATTCAGAAACCCACTACCTTTTGTCACAAAACCAAGCTAACCAATTTAACCATTTTCTCTTCAATAGACCACTGAAGAAAAAGAAAGAAGCCTTTCAATGTGAGAGCGAAGCTCTTCTTTCTTGGAAACCTAGCCCTTATTGCCAGTAAATATGGAGATTGCTTTTACAAACGTCACAGCTGGTGTGGTCAAACTAGCTGAAAGTGGAGCAAGATGTATCAAAATAGAGCAACAAAAGTGATCTACCAACACATCAGCAATATATTATCTATATGAACATCTCAACAGAGAAGCTGCTGTGAGGGTTCACAAAATTAGGTTAACCTTTGTCATCTAACCAGTCTTTTTATATCCCACAGGCTGCTGTGACTATACCAGAGGCAGGAAGGAGTGGGGAGAATGAGACCGTATTCTCTTTTCAGGTCTGGTCTTCTTTTAGTTCTACTGTGTCTTTTCATTGCTGAAGGCAAAAAGGCATCCTCAGGCTGTCGAAAAGGAATGATCTCCAAAGTGACAGAGAACCTATATGTCAAGGCAACTACTTTCAAAGCATCTATTCCAGTAAGTTAATCCCATTGGTTGGAAAGATTATATATTCATTTTTACTTACTTACAGATATTTCTGTGGCATCAGAGTATCTGAGCACCTGGCAATTTTAATAAATTAATCCTCACTACACTGCCATGAGATTGGACAGTATTGTTATCCCAGTTTTAAAGATGGGTAAAACAAGGGGGCATAGACAGGTTAAGTGACTTTCCCAAGGTCATGGAGGAAGTGTGTGGCAGAGTTGGGAACAGAACTCAGATCTCCTGAGTTCTAGTCCTGTGTATTAATGATTATTATTTACTTGTATTACCAGAGCACCTAGGAGTCCCAGCCATGGCCCATGACCCCCTTGTGCTAGGTGCTATACAAACACAGAACAAAAAATCCATCTTTCCTCCTTCTGATCTGGAGGGGAAGGTTAGATGTACATTAATCTAAATTAAAATTCATTATTCTTTGTAGAAAGATCTCATCAAGAACAGAAGATTGTTAAAAAAGACAACCAAAAATTTGTTTATGGTAAGATCTGGATTCTTTGTTTTCCACTTCTTTACTTTGATCATATTTCATTCTGAAGGAGGTCGGAGGGACTGATCAAAAGGAATGGTTTCTGTTAGAGAATTTGGTGATTTGTGTTTAATTCTGAGGGACAATATTAGACTGAGGACCATAGATTGAAAAACTCCCTACGAATAACACATTGGGCTATTAACACTGAAAAAGATTCTCTTACAGGCCCCCTAGCACTGGGATGTAGGGGGAGGGAATGGGAAAGGGAAGGGCTGAGTGACTGTAGTGCCAGGTGGGGGCAGTTGGAGGCACTTTGTCCCTGTATAAGGTAGAGGCTGGCATACTGTCTGGGATGATAACTGGGAAGACTAGTACTGGTGCTTGCTGCACCAGTGAAAATGGTATAGCAGGTGCTCTTCCCCAGCTGTATTTTCCAGGGACTAGCTAGTTCACCTGAGGGCCAAGACCATAGTTATGCCCCCATCTGCTCACATATGGCCTGTTAGGGTGTGTATTATGGCAGGAAGGCTAGTGGCCCCACATAGCATTCCGGAATCCCAAACAGCTGTGCTGAATTTCCCCCCTCCCCCAGCGCAATATTGCATTGGAAGAGGAGAATTGGACTCCTGCCTCCCAGTGAATCCACATAAGGACACCTATAATTTGGCCCAAATAATGTAATTTGGGGTTCACTATATTTGCTACATGTCTATGTTTCGCATTCTAGGACAGAAAATAGTAGATTCATTGATTATACTTTTGTTAATGATCAGTCTCTGGTGTATTTCGCTTTCGGGTTAGCACAATATTGCATTGTCTGGGTTGCAATCCCCCCTGTGGTAATGTTTATTTGTTCAAAAAAATAAAAGCAAATGGCTGTCCATCGGGACAATAAAGAAATTGACGAAAGGATTCCTATTGCCTGTCTATTTTATAAATGGTGAATTTGATAAAACTTAAATTTTAGGCCAGATTTGATGTGACAGTTTCACATTGAATTAATGTCTGATGTATTTTGTTTTCAGAAAAATTGCAGCGTTCGAGATCAGCTTCTCTCATTCTATGTGAAAAATGTTTTTGGAGGTCTTGATTTTGGAAGTGAAAAAGTCTACCTGGCTAGCGCCTTTCAGGCCCTGCAGGAGAACCTAAACAACTGTGTGAGTATCTTCTTTGAAGCGAAGTGAGCCAGGCTATCCCAAGCACCAGAAAAGGGCTAGATCATCCTTTTAGCAGGCGGGGTGATTCAGAGCTCTCTGAGGAGCACAATGCTTTCCTGGGGCTTCCCAGTTGTGCGGGGGAAATTTTACTACACTCATTTAGCATACGCCTAATGCTAGCGCTGCTCTGTGTGTGCGCATGTGTACCACAGAGCCTACTCCCAACCCACTCTCCACCTACTGCTTCCAGGGTGCAGCTACAACCTGAGCACTGAGGCTGCAATTGGACAGGTAGAGCTGGAAGAGGGGGACTCTGAACTCTATCCTATGTCCCAGCACAGCAGGGCACAATCTCCTGGAGGTTAGCTGGAGGTTGTCTTGTGCCAACACAGAAAACACTCCATGTGAGGGAAGCCTGAAGACATGTTTTTTTCCCTCACAGAAGACTCCTAACTCCACTGACCTCCATAATAACTAGAGATACTCACAGAGCATAATACCTGTTATGTGTTCCTACTTCAGCAATGTACCTTTAAGGAGTGGTTAATTCTTACCCACACTTCATTAATGCAGCAAAAAAATAATATTTCCATTTGAAACCGCTGCTCGTGTTTCATGAAAAATGAGACAAGAATCCCAAAGTATTTTGAAACAATTTTCACTGTATCATGAAACATCAGTTATTTACTTTCCTGAGTTTTATTCGTATGAAAACAGGATTGTTGGTCCTTAGAAATTCATCCCCTCCACCTGCTTTTCTCTCACTTGAAATCACAATCCCTTGTCATAATCTCTTCCAGGATTGCCAGTCATGGTGTCACAAATAGAGGATTCTAATAATAAGTGACCATAGGTGCTGGAACTAGAAGTGTGGGGGGTGGTGCTGCATCCCCCAGCTTGACGTGGTTTCGATCATACACAGGGTTTACAGTTCGGTTCAATGCCTCTCAGCACCCCCACTATACAAATTGTTCCAGCACCCCTGGAAATGACTAGCCGTTTATATACAGATGAGGAATGAAAGAGGGTAGAAATGTATGACACAAGTCATAGAATCAAAATGTATCTAATTATATCTATTAATAAATGTATAAGTAGATATTAATTCCATACAAATATTTGCAGTACAAAATAATCAAATGTAGAGAAGCCCTTGCAGCATTACAGCTCAACTAAAACACATTCTACATGTTTGTACCACATGAAAACATTAAAATATCAATGGGAAAACCCCCACCAGTACTCAGACTCTATCGTAAGGACATCCTAGGTTTTTGTATGTTATAGCAATACTTTATATATACATATATATATACATATATATATATGTATATACTACATTCATACATACATGCATGCACACCCATCACGTAGTGTGCCATAATTTGATGTCTTTGACATGTTCAGTTTGCCATATTGTATTTAAAATGTAAAGAAATTCCACTGTTTTTTCAGAAAATCAATTATGCCATTAAAGGCACCAACACATTCCAAGAAACTCAAACTACCAGCAATGACTGAATTATGAATATTAATTACTACCAAATAATTGCACTCTTTGCAACCTGTAGCACACTCTAACCTACAAATAACTTGGATCCTGTACTGTATAACTATGTAGACAAGATACACGGGGTTTTTTGTTGTATTGCACATTTAGAGCCAGTGCTTACTCGATAAAAATCTAAGTATTTTAGAGTTTAGATTTCTGGATATTGACAGGAACTGTACTGAAAAAATATTTATAGGCGGGAGAAGTCCCCTTCTCTTCTACTAGAAAAAAACAGGTATTTGAGAAAAGATTTAACATTAGCTTTCAGAATTTACTATAAGGCAAGATTTCTAATTTTTGTCATTTCGACAGCACTTTTAAAAGTAAACGCTATACTGATTTTAAATCAATGATACAACATCTTACATAAGAATAACATAAAATGTAGATAAAGAACAAAACCCAATGAATACTTTACACAAAGTCCTGGATTGCTATACCGCTTCACCCCCAAAGAGTTTAGCAATCTCATGATCCTCTTATTTGCACATCTGTTGTCTCCTTTAGATAAGATACATTCTTCCTTTTTATGATTTATCTTATGTATAAGATGCTCATAAGAAGGAATTTCTTCCAAGTCAACATGCCGGTCTCAGAGGAGTGGCACATAATGATGGTGCCACCTTCCGGGGAATCAAGTTCTTGGGACAACCAAGGCAATAGTAATTCATTATCAGACAAGCATCTTGTATAGTCCCATGTACTCCAGAAAAGTCATATAGCTAAGATAGTTCTGACTCAGTCAGTAACATATGATTCCATACTATATATAAAAACTTCTATTTTTTGACCAAATAGTTCTGATATAAAGGCCCTACCAAATAATGCGCGCTATATTATCATTCTGATTATTACACCATCAGCTCAAGTCATTATCCAGTAGGCTATGGGAAAATTTTTCACAAGCATCTACCTGATTTAAGAGACCAAATCTCACTTTCAAAAGTGACTTAGGTACTGAGGATCCTTATTCCCATTTATTTCAATGAGACGTGTTCTCCCGTGCCTAAATCTCTTTTGGAAATGCATTTAGGCTCCTATGTCACTTAAAGCTTTTGAAAATTTTACCTTACATTTGAACAATGTGCCCAAATCCAACAAATTCATTGCATGATTTGAATTGTTGCAATTTAATTTCAGACTCACTAGCAGATCTTACACCGCAGCCCAAACATAATCCACCTAATCATACAGAGAGCTCACTTTCCCATTAGGTGGAAAGAACAGTTGTATAATATGTATGAACACTTGGGGCAGAATTATTCTCTATAAATTATTTTGGGGCAATTTTATGTCCTGTATTTTACAAAAGGTCACATTAGATGATCACAATGGTCCCTTCTGGCCTTGGAATCTATGACTCTATGAACAGTCATTTAAAAAAATAAATTCAGTGTCATCTCTTTTGGATGCATTAGTTCTGTGGCATACTGTATCACTGTTTAAAAGTATAAAGAATCATGACTAATTTGCCTAAAAAAAGCCTAAAAAGTAATGTTTAAATATTTTGTATAGAAAAGTTATAGCATTATCCATTAAAGTAGCTTTTGTTTACATTTTCTCTTTCCAAGGCACCTCTGATAAAAGGTTAAAGGCAATCTAGACCTCAGTAGTTTTTTGCTTGATTTGTTAATAAGAAATATCAGATCTTGACTTCCTCATTTGCAGGAGAACTCCTAGAAGGAATAAGAATTAGTGGGACAATGACATCACAAAAGATTTTAACTTGATGAGTTGAGAGTAGTGGGGATCTTTAGTCGGAGTGTCACAATTTTTAAAATCATTTTCGAATCACTTGGAAAACTTCTTTTAAAATGAACACTGCTAGTAAAAGACATTGTCAATGGCTTCATGCTCCTGACTGTGGTGGCTCTGTGATTTGTGCGTGGGGGGGGGAGGAGGGCGTGTCTTTTTTGTGTGTGTGTGCTCTTTGGGAGAGTGAGTCTCCCCTAAGTTTGTCTTCTAGTTTGCTACACAAATTCCAAACCTGGACTCCCTACTTCGCCATCAATTCAATCAGTCCACATTCTTATTCTTTGTATTGTGGTAGCACTCAGAGGTGCCAGTCAGGTTTGGAGCTCCACTGTGCCAGTTGATGTATAGACACAGCATAAAGGACCCTAAATGCCAATTCAATCAAAGAATCAAAGCCAATTCTATAGGGATAGCTCTGTGATCTAAGCATCACACAGGCTCCCTGGAACCATAGGTTCAGACCTCAGCTGCTCAGCCCTTTGTCCTTCTAAATAAAGCTCTGGATTTTGCCCTCCTTACATTGAGCAGTACCTTACTCCTGGAGCAGGCCATTCACTTTTTACTCAAGCAGATGAGCAGTTTTGACAGTTTTTCCTGAAGAGTCAAAGGGAGCAAGTCTTTAAGTCTGCTTTCTTTCTCTAATGTAAAAAGAAAAGGAGTACTTGTGGCACCTTAGAGACCAACCAATTTATTTGAGCATGAGCTTTCGTGAGCTACAGCTCACTTCTGATGAAGTGAGCTGTAGCTCACGAAAGCTCATGCTCAAATAAATTGGTTGGTCTCTAAGGTGCCACAAGTACTCCTTTTCTTTTTGCGAATACAGACTAACACGGCTGTTCCTCTGAAACCTTTCTCTAATGTTGCTCCCAGTGCTCTAGGGCCCCATCTGCTGATGGATGCCATGAAGGTCACTGCAGAAGGCTCCGTAGGCTGCTGAAGGGAAGAAAAAAACATTCAGAATGATAAAAGCAATGTACTGGACCAGTATCTTACTGAATTCCAATCTTTAGTTTTTACAGCATGGGTTAGACTAAATAAACCCTTTCCCTCCACACCCAGCTTCATTTTGATCCTTCAGTGATTACATAAATCTATGTTTCAGATAGCCATATGTGGCTGGTCGGATACCTCTACTTGACACTTACATCTATGGCTTCCTTGCTAAATTTAGTTACAGGAGAAAATGGTTTTCAGGCTTTATTCTGACAAAACTCCCAATGACTTCAATGGGAATTGAAAGTTTGCAGTTCAAGATTGCAGAATTGGGCCCTTAATTAGCACTAAAAATGGGAAGAACAATCATTAAAAATTCCACATGGAAACGTAAATTAACTTTGTAAATAGCTTTAAACCCACTTTAAGTAACCATGTAAGGGAACAGAATTGCACTCACTACTTTGCAGAGGTCTCTTAAAAGAAGGAGGTTCCTAACGTGAGTGGTCCCTTGTACAAGTTTCACTGTTTTATGTTTTATAGCTTTCCCAAGTGTGCTCACATATCTTCCAAAAGCTTATATAAACTCACCCATTTACAACAGCAAGTATGGCCCAAACGTTGCTACCTTTACATATCTGTATCAGAAGCACCGAGGAGGCTATATGACGGGCTCTGTTCTTCCTTATTATCAGTTGCTTACGCCAGACTCCACATTACAAGAAGTTCTTCTGATTTTCTTCTTGTCCCTTCAGCTACCTTGTGCTCCATCCACTAGAATAACTACGGCTGTCAAAAAAATAAAGAAAACATTTGATAAGGTAAAGCCCTGATAGTTGATTTCAAAGTTGCACTGTTTGAAAACATGGTTGACTTCTACTTCTAACACCTTTCTCTTACTGACAGCTTGGAGAAAAGGGCATCTACAAAGCCATCAGTGAACTTGATATTCTCCTTCCCTGGATTCAGACTTACATAGAAACCATCAAATAAAAGTCAAGGAAAGTGACACAAGAAAATGCCACCATACTGTGCACGCTAATCAAAACAAAAAAGCACTGCAAATCATCAGAAAGATGATATGCAATCAGCCTGGCAGTAATTTATCACACTGAAAAACTGTTTTTGTCCATAACGTCGTCAAGGCTGGGATTTCCAAGAGCACTCAGAGTTGGTCTAACTGTTCTCACTGAAGTCAATCATGGGATCAAATTCAGGCCTACCTGGAGCACTTTTGAAAGTCCCACCCAAAAACCATACGTTCTCATAGAAGAACCAACGAAGTAGTACAGTACCACGGGCAGATGACACAGCCCTTGCTAGTACTTCACTCATTGCTCTGTACGTTGGGATAAAGCGCTATATCTAGTGATTTTAGTTTGAGCGCAAGTGGTTCTAATTACCTCACTCGCATTAAGGCTTACTTTTTTGCTTTGTTACGGATGTAGACATTGCTGGTGTGTAACATTATATACGTAAATGAGACATGTTAAGTGTTTGTCATTACTGTTAATTTAACGTGATGTCTAATAAACATACCATTGTTAATGACAAAATATCTGCCTATTCCTTATGCGTGTTCTTTGAGATGTGGTTAACTATCACTGAAATGATGCAATGCAGAAAGCATATCACAGAATGGAATGCTGAGATGATAAATAAATTAATACAATTACTGATCTGGGAGATTGGGTTTGCAAGGTAAATTTAGCCTAAGTGTAAGTATTATTAAAATGAGGCTAAGGATTTACAATGAATCTTTCATATACTGTATAATTAAGAAAGAGCTCTAGTCTGAAATAGAATTGACTATACATATTTTAAAAAATTCCCAGTGGAGACTAATCAGGAATTCAAAATTATTTTAATCCATAGTATAAAGTATATATGTTGGTGTTTGCAAATACATGGTGGAATAGTTTTACAGCACCAAGCTGCACAGTAACTAATGTTCACACATCACTTTTACTGACCCGACGATACATAGGGCCACAGCTTGCCTTGTGCAGTAACACTCCATAAGCTAAGGGTGTGTTTTTTTCTCTTAGGGCATAGGTCCCCAAACTGTGGGGCGTGCCCTGCAGGGGGCACAGAGGAACATGCAGGGATGGGGAGCAGCTGAAGCCTGGGCCAAGCCCATGGTGGTGGTGGTGGTGGGGGGGTGAGGAGGGAGCGCCACCCAGTTCCTCTCCAGGTCCCAGCCCCGGCTGCTGATCCTGTGCCCAGGGCTCCGCTCCCGGCTCTGTGCCTGGGGTCCCAGCTGCCGGCCTCAGCCCCTGGCCTTGGCTCCACTCCTGGCCCCGCCCTCGCCCCCAGCTGTAGCCCCAGCCACGGCCCCCTTGTTCCTGTCCATGTCCCCCCTTCCCAGAGCTGCGGCCTGCTCCTGGCTCCATCTCCGGGGGTGGAGGAGGGGTAGACACGGGTAAGAGGGGGTGTGAGATAACAAGTTTGGGGACCGCTGTCTTAGGGCAATAGGTAGGCAGTTTGGGGGCAGAGGCACGAATGCTTTGTGCATATGCTGCAGTCAGCAGACTGTTACTGAGGGAGAGTATGGGATTCCTTTAGGGCTCAATCAATTATGAACTCTCTTGGGTTCCTGCACAGGGGAGCAGGCATGTGTAAGGAGCTACTTGCCTCCTTCACCGGCTACCCACATTCCTGGAGCCTATGCGGGGCCCAGAGTAGCTGCTGGCTGGTTGCTATTACTCTTCCAACGCAGGTAGGTTGCAAGTGGGCAGGCAGGTGAGGAGCAGGTGGAGTTTACTCCCAACCTCCAATGCCCTGGTCAGCACCCTGGAGCCTACACAGAGGAGGAAGCTGTGACTGTGATTCTGAGAGCCACAATCTGCCTTTTACCCTGCTCCGGGAGAGCACAGCTACATGTTACCACCGGTGCTGGAACCGGGGGGGGGGGTGTCAGATGGTCACGCCCCCCCCCTCCCTTTTAACTAAAGAAACATATGCACCGTGGGAAAAACATCAGAGCTGCTGGTTGTGGGGAGGCATGGGGGGGGTCACATCCTCCCCCCCGATTTCAGCCAGGGATCACACCAGAATGTGGCCAGCAACAGCCTGTCGGCACTGCATGGGCAGGAAGGGATGGAGCTACTTCCAGCCACAAGGGGAGAGGGGAAAGGGATGACTTGGCCCATATCTTTGCAGAGCTCTATCCCTTCCCCTCCCACCCCTGTGGCGGGAAGCAGCTCCCATCCCTTCCTGCTCCCACCGTGCAGAAAGGCAGCTAACGCCTCCAGGTTGCTGCTGGCCACTGACATAACCTAGCTGCCTCCTGTCCCACAGCTGCAGCGCAGGCAGGAAGGGGTTAAGCCTTAGGGCATTGTTCACTGGAGCCCCAGGGAACCTGACTGCAGGGGCTTCAGTGGCTGTGGAGACTGGCCGGAGAAGGCTCTCCAGGGGAGGGTGTCCCCCGCAGGAGGAGTGGCACCACACATGGCTGCTGCCTTGGTAACAAAGCCCAGGGGACGGAGCAGCCCCGCGCTCCCTGGGGACAGTACCGGGGCCAAGCTTGGTGGTGGGGTGGGGTCAGATGGGGCAAAGCTGGTGCTAAACCACTGCCCAGAAGGCTCTTGCAGAGCCTGCGAGTTCGAGGTGGGAACAGGCTGGAAATCACTTCCCTCCCTGCACCCACTCCAGTAATGTTTAGAACAAAGTTGTCTTATTTTTTTTTGTTCATACCTTAAATATTATAATGTGGCTACATTTTGTACTCTGGTTATGTGTATTACAGTTGTACTCTCTGGGATATTTAAGCAGCATTTTAACTCCTTGCCCCCCCCCCACTTCTACAAAGGTCCTGGCACCCTTGCATGCTACCCCTTACTGAAGCTGGATCACAGGATTCCAATTCACCCTTTACTGAAGACCATTCAGATATGGTCCATACTGCCTCCCCACACAAACCTTCTTTGTCTTTCACAGTCAGGATGGCTCAGGGACCCACTGCATGGCTGACTCTACTCTGCCTCCTCAAACAGCCCTGCTATATATTGTAAAAGCAGGATTTTGCTCATCGTATACACGGTACCAACAAAATATCTACGTACCGTGAAATGTGATGACAGCCAATATGCAGTGGCAATTTGCAATGCACTCTAATTTTCTTTAGCATCAATTACTTCATTTTAAAAATGGATACCAACATTTTGATAGATTTCTGGAAACCTGTCAGAAATCATAGCTGCATTTACTGATGACAAGCTATTATTTTCAATCCATGGGTTAATTATGTTGCTTGATCGCAGATTCTGTCACTCACATAGGAGAACAGAAAACTATCCCTTTATATTTATGTATAACATGAAGAATGATGAGATGAAGAAAGGAGCCTTTCAATACAGGCAATGAACTGTCATAACATCAGCTTGTCAGCTTTGCAGTCTGGCAATTAACTTTCAGCAGTAGTATTTACCACACACTGAACTATGGGATTTTTTTCCTGTTAAATTACAAGGACTGCTGCTCTTGAACAAATAGCATTGATTGAATAGTGTGTTTTGACAGAAATAACAGAATGAATTTCAGTGACAGAATGCATTTCAGTGCTCAGCTATACTGAGTGCAGCGATCCTGGCTCAGATTCTTTGCTGGAATAAACTGATGCAGCTCTCTTGACTTCAGTGGAACATTGTTAATTTGCACCGTCAGAGAATTTGGTACACAGTGTTTAAAGAACTGAACTAGATGTGTCAGGACAAACAGCAAAGCTGTGTTAGTCTTGTAGCTATGTACAGTAACAGGTATACTTACTAGACTTGCACTTATCAATCCCCCAAATCATCCAGAATAATACATTATATACATATTCCATAGGTTTGGTGAAAATAAGAGACTGGAGAGGTCTAAGTAGAGGGAAAATGGCAGCAGTTTCACAACCATGGACAATTTGCAGGTAAATTAAACTTTTTTTCAACTGCTCTATATCTTCAAAGACAGGAAATCAGATGAGTTCACATGAGAAAATAACAGCTTTGGAAAAAAAAACCTTTGGTATCTCTCATATGATTGGTCAATGGATGACTGAAAACTTCCCAATGCTCATTCTTTACTTTTCAATCCATATCAACTTTTTCACTTCATTCTTTCCTGACACTACTGGAGAAATCTAATGATTTTAAGTACCCAATGACAGGATGCATTAGCGATGTTAAAGGATAGGAGAAAAAAGGAGGAGCTAGATGCTGGATGGTGAAAAGGAGGAGACTGAAGTTATTAGCTTATGAGAGTTTAAATCGTCACGTAATGTCTGTTAAAAACCGGATAAAATGAGCTGTCTGATTCAGCTGGAAGCACTTCAGTTTAGCGTGGATTTAGAAATACCTGAAAATCACTCCTGATAAAATCAACAGAGAATATATCACCTACCAAAAGTGACATCAGTTTACAATATTTTGGCACCACAAACTCAAAAGTTCTTGCTCCGTGAGGGTAGTAAATATACCAAATGTTAGACTTACACATACCTTCTTTCAGAGTAGCAGCCGTGTTAGTCTGTATTCGCAAAAAGAAAAGGAGGACTTGTGGCACCTTAGAGACTAACCAATTTATTTGAGCATAAGCTTTCGTGAGCTACATGCATCCGATGAAGTGAGCTGTAGCTCACGAAAGCTTATGCTCAAATAAATTGGTTAGTCTCTAAGGTGCCACAAGTACATACCTTCTTATTCCACAAGGGGGCAACCTTGTAATGGCACTGGACATTGGTATTTTTTTTTCATGCTTTGTGTGCTTCTACACTTTCCATGGTATGCATCCGATGAAGTGAGCTGTAGCTCACGAAAGCTCATGCTCAAATAAATTGGTTAGTCTCTAAGGTGCCACAAGTACTCCTTTTCTTTTTGCGAATACAGACTAACACGGCTGCTACTCTGAAACCTACATTGTAACTGTAACTTTTGCAGGTACCTGGCAAACCAAAGCATATTTACAGCGGCCACAGCAATATATTAAGTAAGCAACAACTGGCCCAATAACAT